AACGATCATTAAAAAACAGAAAAGTGAAAGATGTCCAACAGGTTGAGCTGGAAGGACAAGAGAAGCCAAGCCCAACTGTGGTCAGAAACACAGATCCTGGAACAGCAAAAGAAACCAAAGCAGTCTCAGAAATGTCTACTGAAACAGGAGCAATGATTTCAGTGTCATCTTCAGAATATGGCACTGATGCAAAGGAGTCTGTAACAGACTACACTACACCTTCCTCTTCTCTGCTTAACACTGTGGCTACTAATAATGCAAAGATGGAGGATACTTTGGTTAATAATGTGCCCCTGCCCAACACCTTCCCCTCCCTAAGAGGGAGACTATACAACAAAGCTCCAGCCTAACTTCAGTTCCTCCCACTGCTTTCAGCCTCACCTTCAAGATGGAGTCTGCATGGAAGGCATGGGAAAATTCTCCAAATTTAAGGGAAAAGGGGTCCCCAGTAACTTCTACAGCACCTCCAATTGTGAGTTGAGTCAGCAGCAGTCCCAGTGGACCAAGCACTGCTAATTACAGCTCATTTTCCATCAATGCCTCAAATCCCAGTTGCATGAGTCACTCCTACAGCATTGCTGTCAGGAGCTGGTACGTACACTACCTCTTCGTTGAGTACAAAATCAACAACCACATCAGACCCTCCTAATATTTGTAAAGTAAAATCTCAGTAATTACAGACCAGCAGCCTACTTTCTGTAAGTCATTTTTCACAGTTAAGCTGCATGCCTTCCCTTATTGCACAGCAGCTGCAGAGTCCACAAGTTTATGTGTCTCAGTCGGCAGCAGCTCAAATCCCAGCCTTCTATTTGGACACAAGTCACTTATTCAATACCCAGAATGCGCGATTGGCTCCACCGTCCCTGGCTCTGCAGCAGGGCTTCAAACCTGGTCTCTCACAGCCAACATCAGTTCAGCAGATTCCAATCCCTATCTATGCCCCACTGCAAGGGCAGCATCAAGCCCAGCTGAATTTTGGGGGCTGGGCCTGCTGTTTCCCAGGCTCAGGAATTATTCAGTTCTTCAATTCAACCATATAGATCACAGCCAGCCTTTATGCAAAGCAGTCTTTCCCAGCCTTCTGTGGTTCTCTCTGGTACAGCTATTCACAACTTTCCAGCTGTCCAGCACCAGGAACTTGCCAAGGGACAATCAGGTCTTACCTTTCAGCAGACCTCAAATACTCAGCCCATCCCTATACTCTATGAGCATCAGCTGGGACAGGCATCAGGACTAGGAAGTTCTCAGCTGATTGATACACATCTTCTTCAGGCAAGAGCAAATCTTAATCAAGCTTCAAATCTTTATGCTGGACAAGTACAGCAGCCTGGTCAGACAAATTTTGATAACATTGCCCAATCACCAAATGCTCTCCAGCAGGTGAACTATGGCGTGGTTACAGTACCCTTACCAGCATCCCAGCTTGCCTTGACTAATTTTGGATCTACAGGACAACCCCTGATTGTTTTGCCTCAGACACTTCAGCCCCTGTTACAGCACACAACCCCACAAGCACAGGCTCAGAGCTTGAGCCATCCTGCCCAAGTAAGCCAGCCTTTCAGAGGATTAATCCCTGCTGGAACACAGCATAGCATGATGGCAGCCACAGGAAAAATGTCTGAAATGGAACTAAAAGCCTTTGGGAGTGGCATTGATATCAAACCAGGAACACCTCCAATTGGTGGGCGAAGCACCACTCCAACCTCTAGTCCATTCAGGGCTATGTCAACATGTCCAAAGAGCCAGTCTAGCAAAATGAACAGCATTGTATATCAGAAACAGTTCCCTGCCACAGTGAGAATGGCACAGCCGTTTCCTGCACAATTTGCACCCCAGATTCTCTCTCAGCCTAACCTGGTCCCTCCATTGGTAAGAACCCCACATACTAACACCTTCCCAGCGCCTGTACAGAGGCCACCAATGGCACTGGTCAGTCAGATGTGTCCTCTGCTGACCACAGGCCTCATGAGCCATGCTCGTTTGCCACATGTAGCCAGGGGTCCTTGTGGATCACTATCTGGAGTCAGAGGTAATCAGGCTCAGGCTGCATTGGAGGCTGAACAAGATATGAAGGCAAAGCAGAGAGCAGAAGTTTTTCAGTCCACGCAGCGGTTCTTCTCTGAGCAGCAACAGAACAAACAGATAGGAGGCAAAGCCCAGAAAGTGGACAGTGATACAAGTAAACCTGAAACTCTGAGTGACCCTCCGGGCACCTGTCAGGAAAAAGTAGAAGAAAACCCACCCCCTGCACCCACCATAACCACCAAACCTGTTAGAACTGGACCAATCAAACCTCAGGCAGTCAAAACCGAAGAAACAAAATCATAAAGGCTGTGGTTTATTGGGGGTGGGTGGGCAGGGAAATCAAAGTCAAATAATGCCAGCAGCCACAATGGTAATGTGATCTGTGACATTATCCTGTGAGACACACAAGTGGCATAGAGCATTTTACACTGACAGAGCTGCTACATCAATTTCAATGAGGCTCCACAGGCTTGCACCTCCTGTGTAACATTTGCATCTTCAGTTGGTTTATATACAAGTATGCAGCCAGTCTGTTAAGTGCATACAGTTTAGTCCTAAGGAGCAGGAAATACCATAAGTGAAGGAGAGTGATACCACAGAGTATCTGGACACTAGGTAGTCCCGTTAATACATCAGCTGTGGTTCTTTTGCTCCCTCGTGTTCTTTGGATGTGTCTATGGCATTCCTAGGCTTGAAAGCAAAGTGATGCTAACTGGTGCTGGATAGAGGACCCTTATTTTTTATTATGGCAGCTTACTATTTTTGTAACATGGTGATTTGGTTGAACACAATAAAGTACAGTAGTAACTGATCTCCCCTTCTTCCTGGATGAGTGATCAGATGATTAAATGTTGATGTCATCATCCTTGAGTATATTCAGATGAGCAATATATGGCTTCTGCTTCTATTTAAAATGATGCTGTTTGATTGTGGCCCAAAGCTTTGAAGCACTACTTGAGATCTCCTTCCTTGGAGGTCTCACCACATAACAGATTTGATAACGTGTTGGTAAGGTGAGGTCTAGCTTGTCTCCGCTAGGTCATCTTCATATGCTCCCAGTGGTTATACAGTTTTGTTTTAGGGATATTTCATTTTTCAATAACGGTTTTTAGCTGGCATTCATGGAGAGAATGAATCCTTAGAACTGTGCCACTAGTGAAAGGAAATCCTATCTAAGATTATGTTTCTTTACAGAGCTATGTCACACCATCCTTTGGGCCCTCTGCTGGAAAAGTAGAATCAAGTCTCAAATAATGCCTTTTAAATTGTATTCCCTAGTATTATAGACGTAGGACAGTACAGTATTATACCTCTGTGAATGTAAAATAGCTTGTACCTGCTTTTTGATATGTAGTAGTGACCGTGCATTATCAGAGCTGTTTCTAATGATGTTGCTCAGAATGTCTTCTTTCCAGATGATGATTGAAAAGCTAATTTTAAAAAATGGTGCCAGGTACCACAAGAGTAACAGAACTGTGCTGTTTTCTGGGGTTTGGTTTTTTACCTTTTTTTTTAATGGAGTGTGCTGGATGTCTCTACAATTATGTTCAAATGACTGCAGAACCTGGAAAAACTGTTGCTGGTATTGATGCATAACATACTGCTATTATTGGTATGGTATTATTATTGATATATATATAAATATATATATATATATATATATATATATATATATATATATATATATAAAATTTTTGGAAACTTTAGCTGTGCTGTAAACTTTGGAAAAAAGTATCCCAGTTTACTGTGTTAAGTTGGCATTGTACAGAATTTAACAGCCATATTGGTCTAGAAATGTTGAACATATTTTTTTCCATTTGTACAGGGGTAACACGCTGTATTAAATATGTAAGGTCTTATCTACATGGGTTTGAATACAAAAACTAATAAAGTATTCTCTAAATAAAAAAAAGAAAAAAAGAAAATAGGTATTTTTCATTAAGTATAATCTGATTAATGATTCCTCTTCTTCAAGACCTCAATGATCCCCCATATTTAGAAACAGAACCTAAGAATAATGATAAAAAAGAAAAACAAAACAAAATAATTAAATACAAAACAAAATGGAATTGAACAACACAAACAAACAGAAAAAGAGAAAATAAAATACAAACCACAAGAAACCCAATTAGACATAGACACAGACAAGTTCACAAAATTCTATATAACAAGAATGAGCACCAGGTATACATTGGACTATGACAGTTGATGTTGTGTCAGTATAGGTCAATGCTCTATAATGGCTAGTGACTATAGGACTGATTAATGAACATGGCATGTAAGAAAAATGTGGGACCAGAGTTTTACATGATTATATGACTATATGATAGTATAATCATAGAGCCTACCACAGTTAACATGTACATTTATTGATTTGATAAGTGAATTCTGTCAAAAGTGGGTTAATAATATTTTATCCAATTTATAGGAATTATACTTACATGGCTGTACACTCTGATATAAATATTTCTCACATTCTAAGAGACTAGAACTTCTGCTGGAACACATAGCCAATGTTAACAATACAACCTGAGGTCTCTTAATACTTAAGAATATGAAAAGTGTTTCAAATTGCCCAGAGATTTGTGATTGGGATTTTACAGGTCAGATTTCTACTCTATTTTATTACCAGCTATTCCATCAAGTGTTTCAATGTTTCAGAATCCAGAAATAGTTTTATCATGCAATATCAGGTTTTTTTTTTCATTTTAATTATTTTACAAAAGTAGAAACATGTCAATTGTGGTGGTCATTGGTGAAAAAATTGACAAGGTATGGAACTTTGTAGATTTATCCTAAATCAATACCACTTTATTCTTAGATGTCATTTTAAAAAGTTCACAAAGGCACTGTAGGACTGTGATTGTGATATAGAAAATGGATTCCCAAAATGATTATTTCTGAGCAAGTCTAAAGGATAATCATTTTTGTCATCTCAGACCCAGCTTCCTGTTCCTCCAGGGTTTCTGTCACACTCAGGATGTGGTTGCAACACTGTGTCTTGCACAGAAATAGTTGGCAGAGTCATCAGATATCAGGCTTCTGAGCTCCATGTAGGCTGTGCTGGAGGATTTGTCTGCAGTTAATGTGGTTTTGCTCTTGAACTTCTCATTGTACACAGTATAACCACTTCCAGGATAAATAGCTCCAATCCATTCCAGACCCTGTCCAGGACTCTGCTTTACCCAATGTATATAGTAGCTACTGAAGGTGTAGCCAGAGGCCTTGCAGGACAGCTTCACTGAGGCCCCAGGTCTGGCCAGCTCAGTCCCAGACTGCTGCAACTGAACTTGAGAGTGGACACCTGTGGAGCAAAAGGCAGAGTGGATGTCATTGTCACCTCAAGCACTATATCCTTTTCAGATTTGGAAATACTGAACCCATTACCTGCAGTTACTGATAGGAGGAAGAGAAAGACCCAGGTACATTCCATGGTTAGAGTCTGTATGTGCAGGAACTGTGGAGAGGACACTGATTATAGGTTGTTTTCAGGGTCTGGGCATCCCTATATTTATTGCTGTCGACTTAAGTAGTTTGCATATTCATGAGCATGGTACTTTTTAGTTAAGGACTTAGCCCAACTGGAGAACAGGAAAGGAGAAAACACAGAGTTCAGGAAACAGGATGCTCAGGTCCAAGTCCTAACACTTTCTGAGGAATTGCATCCCATATTCTTTCCCTGAGCATTATGCGGATGCTGTGCCTGTACCATCAGGGACTAAGATCTCAATTGATTTCTGGCCAGACATTGTTGCTCTACTTTGGGACACTGTTATTGAACTGATTTATAGATGATGATTGTAAGGTGGTGATAGAGATCAACCCCTCCCCCACACTGAAAGAATCCACTACATTTTAAGAATTTCGAGTCTTCTTTCTGATATATGGTTTATTTATGTTTGCCTTTCCAACAGGTTTTATGCTGAAACCTCACTCAAATGAACAAAAATAAATATACTTCACAAATATTTACACATCAGTGATTATTGTAACACTACCTTTAATAACTAAATTATTAAAATACAATATGCTTGTACAAAATATACTCATACGAAAACTCTAAACATACATAAAATGTTACATCTGTATTTCATGATGATTTTAATTCTTTGAAAATTTCAATCATGTATAAAATATGCTATGATTCACTTCCACTCTCAGTATTCTCACCTCTATCTATCACCACTAGGTCCCTGTGGTTCCCCTTGAGAGCTTCTATTAAGTTTCTAAGCAAAATTCTGACATTTTTATTTCATTAACTACTAGCACAGTGAGTCTAATTAGTGTTATCTGTATACAGATAGATAGGGTAATTAGTCGTACATAGTGACACTCCAGAGACCTTCTCCCAAAATGATTATATTTTGATCATCAATCATCAAATCTCAATAGACCCTCAGTTTGGTGTGGACTCTGAAGAATTCCTCTCCATCCAGATTGTAGTGTTTTCTAATTGTTAAACAATTGTTAAAGGTTGCAACAGGGTGCACATATAATATATGTTTACCTCAGTGGATAACCTATGGAATTTAATTCTAAGAGATTTAACTGATATTACTAATCTTGCCAGTAGACAAGGTTACCTGGACAGCCATTTCAAGGTCTCCCATGTGATAGTAGTCACAATTTTTATTGGTAAATACATCTACTGAGAGTTCATGTGTAAAATGAAGATAGGTTAATAGATAAAGATAGAATTTGATGTCCTTCAACCATGTTCTCTTCATCATACATTCATTCTTTTCACTGTTTTGTGATGGTCTTTGATTCTTGGGTGAGAGGTTGATATCATTGACTCATCTGTGGCTGAGTACTCTGTCAACCATTCTCAGCAGTCTGACCATTAACGAATTTCTGTATCAATCATTACAAACAGCACTCAGATGCCTTGGGATCAAGGCTTAGAGCAGCACTAACCTATTTGGGCATACATATAAATATTTATAGTGCAGTTTGACAACATGATAATTAGCAATAACATTGATGTCTACTAGGTCCTGTGTCATTTCCAGAAAAAAACCTCTTGGACATGTTTATCTGGAATGGAGTCTTTACTATGGATCAGGCCACAAATCCAATTACAAAGCAGTTTGTCACTATATAACAGTCAGATTACTGAGTTCAACTTACCTGAAGGTTGATATTGTTGATTGTACTCTCTGTTACTGCATGAGATCACTGATGTCTTTGCTTTTCCTTCAAGCTGCATAGCACCTTCCTGCACAGTGTATCATACAGCCAGGAAGAATTTTCTGGTCACTTGAAGGGTGGTTTTTCTGTGTCCTGCAATCAAAGTCCTTAGCTAACAGTTTAAAGGCAGTTTAAAAGAACTTTAATGTTTCAATTTGACCACAGTCACATGACCTTAAGAAAGTACAAAAAACAGACATAGATTGGATAGAAATATAAATAGTGTAGATGGAAAACATTTTTTGAGAATTCATTAAAAAAATATCAAGAAAATAATTGTATGTCTCAGGTATATCCTTCCAAAACATGTACTTAAATGGCATAAAATCTTATTATAGAGATACTTGCAGATCTATGTTCATTCACACTATGTTATCTTTGCTCATGCTCTATTCTAAGAGGCTATAGAAAGAAATTATCCTAGATATCCTAAAAATTACAAATGGATAATAACAATGTGGTAAGTGCATGAACTAAAATGTTTCAGTAGCATAACTGGAATTATAAAATATATAGGTATGTTCATCAAACTCAAAAAATATGAATCAAGTCAACCTCAGTGTCCATACAGCAAATTATTCACATTCTCACTCATATCTGTTCCAAAATTTGAATATTTTGTTTTGTGAGTGGGCCATTAGGGTATGAGAAATTTATGGAAATCATAGAATAAAGTAGAGAAGGAATGAAAGCATAGAGAGCCATAAGAAGAGGCAAATATTTAAACCATGAAAGATTGTTGGGACATGGAGAAATGGTATACTGGTGTAGCAATAAACCATCATTTAAGTCTCAAAAAAATAGTATGATAAAATCTAAGCTCTTTTCTTGTAAATAAAAAACAAAGCTCTAGGGGATATAGAATGCATTTAGCATTAGGAACAAAACTAAGGATTCAGGGCCTCAAGAAAGTGAATCATGGAGTAAAAAAACACAAAGTTACATTTTTATTTCTAAAACAAAAAGTCAAAATAATAATGAACAGTTCTTAGTTGCCTAGTATACAGCTTGAAATTTCTTTGTTTTGGAACAAGTTTATGTTTAGACTATAATGAGGGTTTATGGATCTACTGATAATGTATTTTTTTAATTGTAAATAATTTTTTCAATTTTATTCAATACTTTATTTACTTACATTTCAGATGTTATCCCATTTCCCCATTCTCTCCCCAATTAATTCCCCTATTTCATCTGTCCTCCTCCTTTTTGGCCTTTATATTGTTTAAATTACATGCAGGTATTCAGGTCAGTTCTAGATGGAGAAACAAGCAATACAATAAATTCAAATACCAAAATATTGTCAAAAATAATACATTTAGAGAAAGTTTTTGAAAAATTGTTGATACTTAGACAAGACTTGTAGCTTAGGTTTAGTACTGCCTCAGGGGTATAATTTTTGTCATGTCATAAACTTATGTGAGATATAGGTGCTTGCAGAAAACTGAGTAGAGAGAGCATAGATGAGCATTTTGTTTTATTTTAACTGGTGAATTACTTGCATAAGTAGACATTACTTCTCTCAGAATTCACGTGGTTTTTAATTGCACATATCTGTGCCAGGCAAAGGAAAATATCCTATGACGTAATGGTCAGAATGCAATAGGTACCTTTTGTGGTTTGGTCTAATAATTGTATGATGTTAATTGAGTCCCCCAAATTTCATGAGAATTTGCACGTAAGAGGCTGAGAGTACCTGCTCCCAAGTGGTTTTGACTTGTAAATAAAGTTGCTGGCAAACAATGTCTGGGCAGAGAGACAGAGCCAGACTTTAGGATTCTAGGCAAGTGACTGTGGAAGAGGCAGAGAAGAGAGCCACCATGCTGGGAAAAGAATACACCTGAGAAGTGCACATCACACAGACAGGCAAAATGGCAGAGCCATGGATCATGGCCCAAGAGGGCTGCATGTCTGGGTCTCTCTGTCTCTCTTTCTCTGTCTTTCTCTGTCTCTCTTTCTCTCTGTGTCTGTTTGACTCTCTGTTTCTCTCTCTCTCTCTGTGTATGTGTGTGTATGTGTGTGTGTGTTTGGTGTTGTGTTTGTTTCTTTGTTTTTGATAATGTTCATTGTTAAAACAATTTAAAATATCTTTTCTTGTGGTTTTTGCTTTCCAGATAGAGAAAATGTGTGTAGTTGGATGAGTGAGGCATTAGGAAGGTTCTGGGGTAATTTGTGGGTGTGGGATTCAGTTATCAGCATATATTGTATACAATGTATCACCATAGATAGTATCAGAACAAAATATAACTTTTATTCAAAAAGTTATAAAAATAAATATGAATGAGAAAATATGGGGAGATCAGTCTCTCAGAAAGAGGAATGTGGCAAGGAACTGTGGTGGGTTTTGGTAGGGGGTAATGGCTGAAATGTAAATAAATTAAATAATTAATTAAAATATATAAATCTGTGAAGTATTTCACTAGGCATCTTTACTGTGTTTGAGCATGGAGATATCACATGTAAACCACAGCTGGGAAGATCAGTGAATCGAGGGTAGTGGTGGCGTACTACGCCTTTAATCCCAATATGTAGGAGGCAGAGGCAGGCGAATTTTTGAATTCGAGGCCAGCCTGGTCTGCAGAGTGAAGTCCAGGACAGCCAGGACTACACAGAGAAACTGTGTCTCGGAAAAAAAAAAAACACAGACTCTGCTCCACAGCCACCTCATCTCTCTGAGGATTCTTAGCCTCAATGTGCTGCATGCAGCTACTGTGTTCCATGCAGGTAGGTTTGTCATGGATCACACTGAAGTTGAACAGTTTGGCTTAAGCAATAGCACATCACTGAAACTTTAGTGTTCACAGAGCTTATCTGAAGGGAAATATAGTTCATTTACCTGGGGATATTGGTTTATGTGTCAGAGATTGATTTTAATTTCTGTCAATATTGCTTAAAATTTAATGTACTCTCTACGCCAAGTTCCTCTGTGGTAGCAGTTGAATCAAACACTAGTGGTTACAATTTTTAAAAAGTAATGTCAGGAGATTTCAGCCTTTTTCCTGTTTTCATCAGGTACTACCTCAGGCAAATCACCTGTGTTCAGAAGGACCTGAATGAGTCACAAGTTCTTATGCAGCCACCCATGTATCCATGAATGAACTCCTGCAACACTCAAATGCAGGGGTCAAAGAAAAAAGAAGAATCACTGTAGTACCCACAGATCAGTTAACAACTCCAGAATTAAAAAAAACATTTTCACATTTAAAAAGAAATAAAAATCAAATGAGTGCATGCTGTGACTCAATCTGTTTCACATAATGGATTGGCATACATTT